TCTTTGCTGTTCCCCATCAGCGCACCCCCTCTGTGCTGCTGCTCTCCAGACAGAACTCGTGCCTTCAGCCAGATTCATGCAGGTGAGAGCCTCAGAGCTGCCTGAAGGGAGAAGAACCACTTGGTGCTCCATGGGGACATCCCACGGCAGGGCTGTCCCTGCAGGGCCATGGACCTGGGCAGGTGCATGGTCGGTCTGTGCTTGAATCTCCTTAGGCAGATGTGAGATGTTGAAAGTCGCAAGGGCAGAGGCCCCAAACGCAGGGAAGGGGCAGAGCAGCAGCATCCTTATAGGTAGCCAACAGGTTGGAAAACAAGGTCTAGAGGACAGCCAGACTCTTGTGTGCACCTCTCTAGTGAACTGTAGGGGTTTTGTTTCTCTCTTAATGATGTCCACTGTGTAGTTCTCCTGGAGCTACATTGTTCTCTATCAGGTATCTCAGTCTGAGCATCCATGCTGAAAATCCAGGGAAATTTGCTATGGGAACAGCAGAGGTGATAGATGAACCTCTTTTCTTCTGCACAGTCTGTGGCCTTTTCATAGAATCATAGAATCAGAAATGTTGGAAAGACCTCTAAGATCACCATAGTCCAGCCACCAGCCCATCCCCACCGTGCCCACTGACCACGTCCTCAGTGCCACATCCACACGGTTCTGGAACACCTCCAGGGATGGAGACTCCACCACCTCCCTGGGCAGCCTGTGCCACTGCAGCACCGCTCTTTCTGAGAATTATTTTTCCTAAATCACACCAGGCTGTGCCTATAACTGTGATCCCCACATGGGGAGCACCCCTGTTTGGTTGCACCCCTCCACTCCTGTGAGTTCTGATGTGAATTCCTCAGGGTTTAAAGCTTGTTCTTCCCACGCTACCTGGCTCACGTCCCATAACTTAGCCATGGCAAAGGCAGCAAGAGACATTTTGGGGCTTGTCCAGAACGCCAAGAGCATGCCAGGGTCAGGCCATGTGAGTAAGGGGACAGGAGTGTCCCTTAAGTCTTCAGCAAGGCCTGGCATCCATGTCAACACCTGCAAGCCAGCACGAGTCGATGGCGGCAGTGCTCAAGGAGGTGGGTGACACTGTCCCCAGGTCTGGCTGCCATCCAAATAATCGACGGCATTTTACAGGAGATGTTTGTCTGAGCAGTGATGTTTGTGCTCAGGGTCATGTCTATTTTTGCTACCACGCCATGTATTTTTAAATTGCGTTTGAACAGCATTCAGTGCCCACGGCGAAGCTCTTTTCAGATCATTTGTCATGTCACAGAATGGTTTTGAATATCTGTCTGCTCATTTCAAGCTAAATATTTATCCTGTAATTAGATTGTTTTCTTTGAATTATTATTATTATTATTTTTTTTATGGACAAAAAGTCACTATTTGGCTGCGTAAAATGTTGGGAATACGCAGCTAGTGAGCAACAGGCTTCTGCAGTTTGTGTTCTGCAGGTGTGGGCGGTAGGCATTCATGAAACACCCCTCCTCATGGGCTCCTGCTGGGCCCATCACTACGAAACCTCTCTCAGTGTCATTGCCAGCATGCAATGGGATACTGCAGCCATGGCATGGGGGTGAGCGCGTGGCCAGATTGCTTAGTGCTGTCTCCCCAACTGGACCTTGGGCAGTGTGCAGCCATGCAGAGCCACCAACCCCCAGCCCCAAAACCATCTGTGTCGCCCCTGATGTGGGTGCAATGGGGCAGCTCCACGCATGGCAGGCTGCACAGCTATAGGGAACGGCGAAGGTCTGGGCCAAATGTGGGTTAATGCTCTTCTGCTGCTTCACTGCCTGAGGTCATGCACTGGCGGAGACGGAGGGAAGCCGATACATGCATGTGTGGGCAAAGACAGAAAGGAAGGAGCACGTTTCATACTTCACTGAGGCACTTGAAAAGTATTCGTTGCTGTTGTAATTTCACTCCTGAGCAGAGATGTCCAAAATCTCGGCTTCTGGTTCACTTGTGAGTTCAGGCTGGGGGAAAAAAAAATAGAAAGAAAGAAAGCAATGGTATCAACCTCCCTCAGGCTGAAGATACTTCTCTCTGGCTCCTGGCAGCCCCAAAGCCCCCTGCCCTGACATAGGGGTGCCACTGTCAGCAAGCAACTGGAGGTCTCTCATCCCAGGGGGGACAGGGGCACAGAGGCAGCTCCCAGTGATGCTCCTGCAGAGAAAATAGGGGAAGATGGAGTGTGAACTCATGAAATTCACAGCTGTGTGGGTTAGAGAGAAGCTAAAGGTAAGAAAGGAGAGTAAAGATTTAAATTAAACTCTGGGATATTACTTCAAAGGGCACAGCAGGTGGCTGAGCTGCTGGGGAGCACAGACTGAAGTTTGGGGATTTGGTTCTGGGAGCATCTAAGAACATGATCCTCCACATAGACCTGAATCTGGTGCCAGGGGAGCTCTGCCTCAGAGCACAACCTTCTGTTTAATTATTTCTACCCTAATCTGTAGGAAGTAATTGTGTATTATGAAATTATCCCACTGGACATACAATAACTTTGTACTCACAGCAGGCACCTTTATTTTTCTTACCCTGCATAAATTAGGCACACATCCACCAGCTGTTTGGTAAATAAGCTCCTGCCAAGGAGTGCATTGGCCTTTCTTTTTCCTTCTTTCTTTTCTCACCTCTGATGGCTTCTGGTGATGTTGTTTCCTGTCTGCATAGCCGAAGCTGTGTTAAAGCAGGCTGCCTGCAGCAGTTGTATCTGCTAAAATGTTCACAGCGTTGTCTGACTGATCTGCCTGGGTTACCCTATGGGAGCAGGTGGCTCTGATGGGCCAGGGTGCACTCTTTTGGTCCTACCACTGTGATTTCTAGACCTTAACAAGACAACTGAATCAGAGAACCATTAAGGTTGGAAAAGACCTCTAAGAACACTCAGTCCAACCACCAGCCCATCCCCACCGTGCCCACTGACCGTGTCCCTCAGTGCCACATCCATTCAACTCTCTGGTGAGCATCCCCAACACAAAGCGCTGCTGCCAGCTCTGCCAGCTGTGCTGTGGGCTGCAGCGTGCAGCGTGTGTGATGGGCACTGTGGATCCTTGAGCTGACAAGTCAGTAGATCTCTAAAGAATCAGGAGGAGACAAAGCTGCAAGAATGATGATAACGGGGAAAAGATCCTGCAAACACAGAGCCTATCCCAAATGTAGAGGTAGATGCCCTGCTCCTGCAGCCCGGCCACCAGTGCTGTGCTCAGGGTGTTCACTGCCACCCGGTGTTGATCTGCTTGAAGAAAACATTTATGTTTTGCCCAGATTTTTCTGTATACGGATCTGTTTCTGGCATACCCTGTAAGAATGCTGATGCACAGAAAGCAGTACTGGATAGGGGACTGCTGCAGTTGCTGCTGCTTCATAGAAGGGAAAAATCTGGTTCCTTGAGGGGTCCTTTGTGTGGCAATGGTAATGTACAGGGGAACATGAGCTTTGAAGGCTGTGCTGGCCTTGCCTTCCAGTCCAACATAGCAGCCTCTGGCTAAGCACTGGTAGCTGGTGGGCTATTCACTGGCTCACTGTGGGAATGAGAGGATTCCCCTCTTATTCTGGTTTGTAGGACAGAAATCCGTGGGTATCACTACAGCAATATGAGGTATAATCCCCTCAATGTCTCAATGGGCCTCCATGTCTTTCTTGCAGTGAGGGGCCCAGAACTGAACACAGCACTTGAGGTGCAGCCTCACCAGAGCTGAGTACAGAGGGACGGTCACCTCCCTGCTCCTGCTGGCTGCACTATTGCTGATACAAACCAGGATGCCATTGGCCTTCTTGGCCATCTGGGCACAATGATGGATCATGTTCAGCTGGCTGAACTAACATCCCCAGAACCTTTTCCTCCATATAGTTTTCCAGCTGCCATGCCCCAAGCCTGTAGCACTGCACGGGGTTGTTGTGACCGGAGTGTAGGCCCCAACACTTGGTCTTGTTGAACTTTATCAGCCCATTGATCCAGCCTGTCCAGATCCCTCTGTGAGTACTGAATGATGGCAGAGCTCCCTTTGACTTAATGGCATCCCATGTTAAGATGCTCCATGTATAGCATAGCTCTGTGACCCGCAGCTCAAACATTCCCCTGGTGCTGCCTTCTCCTCATCCTCCCTCTTCCTTTCAAACAAGCACTGAGGTCACCTCCCAGCTGCTGAAATCCATCAGTGTGTGGGAGCCCTGCCTGCAGCACTACTAAGAATAGAGCTTCAGGATGAGAGGGGAGAGGAAATGGGCTTGCAGCACCAGTCTGTCCCACCAGGTCTCCTGCAAGAGGCAGAAGCCACGCAGTGCATGCAGTGCTTTCCGATCCTGCAAAAACTGGAGCCAAGCACAGCTGGAAAAATGCAATGCTGTTGCTTTGCTTTGGCTGCAGGATTTGCTGTTGCCCTTCTCTCTCCAGCTCACACTACAGGGCAGTGCAGTGTCCCACCTGTCTGGCTGTCCGTCCACACTGCTCAAACCACAGGTGCTGAAAGCAAAAGCGAGGCTCCATCTCCTACCCAGAAGCCACGTATCAGCAAAATGCCATAGATACCGAAGCTGGGCTGCAGAGGGCCTTTTCCCCAGCATTATGCAATGCTAATTATGTAATTGGGAGTTACATAACATGCCCAGCTTTTTTTGGCACTCCCTCAGCACAGCGGTGGGCACCACAGGATGGCCGGGCCACGGCCATCCCCTGCTTCTGGTGGGGTTCTTTTAATTGCATCATGGGGAAAAGGTTCGTTGAAAAGGCAAAAAAAGGGAACGATCAAAAAATCTGTTTGCCTCGCTGAGCTGTTCTGCAGTGCAAACACAGAAGATGCTCTGGGTTGTTAAAATTGGGTTTTTCGAGCATCCTTTTCTTCCTCCTGCTGGAAAGTATTTAAAATGAAAATGAAAAAAAAAAGAAAAGAAAAGAAAAAAAAAAGACAACAGGAAAACCCACAGATCAAACACGAGGATTTATCAGTGCCTCTGCCTCAGGTTGCTCGTTTCATTGCAGCTCGGAATCACGGCAGCGCGGGGCTGCGGGGCTCTCATCTGACAGACCGGGGCTGCGTTCTTTCTCCAGCAGTGGTGCTCTAAGGAGAAAGAAATGCGGCCCAAAGGCGCCGGGCTGTCCCTGTGCGTCTTGCTCCCTGCAGCCCGTGCCCCGCTCTGCTTGGCTTTGTCGCCCGTGGCCACTAGGTGGTAGCACGCCCCGGCCGACAGCGCGGGGCCATCGCCGCTTCACCTGCAGAAAAAGCGATGAAGACACCCATATTCTTGTTAAGCCCTCTGACAGTCTGGTGTTAATGTCCGCATAGAGACTGTTGGCTTCCCAGCCCTGGAGAAAGCTGTAGAGAGAGAAATGCCGATCAAATTCAATGGGAGATATTAAGGCAACAGCTTCAGCTTCCGGAACAGGATGGAGCTCTGTGTCCAAGGAGCAGCCCCTCGTATACTGGGAGCACATTGATCTCGTGTCTGAAGGGCATGTAAAGCAGTAAGGTCAGCATTCAGGATCCTGCCCAAGGCGGAGCCAAGCATGGTGCAAATCCATGTTTAGAACAGGGAGGACTTGAGGAGAGAGGCTGTGGGATGGGATCTCTCCAAGCGCTCCTCCATCGGTTTAGCCAAGTGTGGGTAATTGATAGTGCCCTGCTATCTGCACTGAGAAATCAGGGTGAAATCCTGGCCTCGAGGTGTTTAAGAAGAGAGATTTCTGACATAGCAAACTGGTGCATAGAGGGGGGAGAATTGCTTGGCCACCAGGCAATAGATAAACCCAGCGGGAGGAATTCCCCTACCTTTGGGCTTGGATGCCAGCCATCACCTCAGCTGGTTTGGCCAACCTGCCTATCTAAGCTGTTCTCTTTAACCCTTTAGTTCATCTGCCTGCACTCACCTCTTGGGAGGGATTAATTAAAGATGGCACACCAGGCTGCCACCAGGAAGGCTGGGAGGTACCCCAAAATCATACCCATGGCAGCTCATGGTGACTTGTCTTACTTGACCTACTGTAGGGTACCTGCTTTAGCAGAGGGGTTAGACTTGATGATAACCAGAGGTCCCTTTCAACTCCTATGACTGTGATTCTGTGATTCTGACACTTGGCTTGAGAGACCTTATCCCACTGCAGGGAAAGGAGAGGTGTGAGGAGGGCAGAGTGATGCCACCAGCCGTCCCTTGGCTGGCAGCGTGGCATTGGAGATGAATGTGCTCTTCTGGAATCTCCTGCTGCACAGCTTGACACTGTCAGTGGGACCTTGGGAAACCGGGACAGGCTCCTGGCAGTGCGTTTGGGCAATGCCCTTTCTGCCTGGCGCGGGACATGTGCCAGTCCAATACGAAAGGCAGAAATGATGCCATCAGTGGCACTCACAATAGCACCTGACCCGAAATAGCTTCCTAGAAAAAAAAAAAAGAGAGGCTGATTAGTTAGACAAGCCTGAAAGAGAGCAAGATGTCCAGCTGACGATTAACAGGTGTAGGTCTACGAGGAGGGGCTATAAAACGCGCGTGTGAGCTCTGCAGCCACCCTCTGGGGAGAGGCAACCGCCGTACGCAGCACTCGAGACCCGTCTGTCCCTGCCAACAGCGAACCATGGGGCTCAGCGACCAGGAGTGGCAACAAGTCCTCGCCATCTGGGGAAAAGTGGAGGCCGACATTGCTGGCCATGGACACGAGGTTCTGATGAGGTAGGCGACGAGCATCGGTCGTGAGCTGAGAGCTTTGAGTGACAGACCACGAATGCTGAGTATTGGGGCTCAGCCACGTACGTTTTGACAGGCTGTTTTGTTTCAGTGTAAGGTGGTGGTTTTCCACTGATGTGGTGGTTTCTGGGTTAGAAATGGAGAGGCTATGCTTTTGCCACTCCATGTGTCAGATCTCAGGGCTTTGGAGTGAAAAATGGTACAGTATCTTTGCCTGTCCTTAGGGACCTGCAGGGCTGGAGACAGGGAGACCCTCTTGAGAGTGCCCTAGGGCTGCACTCAGCACTCAGTGCCAGGAGGGTACGGACACCGAGGACAGCAGTGGTTATGCAGGGTTTCCTATCTCAAGCACAGCTAAATCAAGAAGCCCACACCATTGGGCAAAGCCACGGCCCATTCAAAGCTTCTCCCATGTAATTTCTCATTTCGTCAGGGGTTTTCTGAGGGAGAGAAGCAGGGGAAGCGGAGCAGACTTCTCTCGGTTTAGAAATGTGCCTGCTTGTGCCTTGGTAAAGGCTTTTTAGGTAGGTAACATATCCAGGGAATACGTTTAGAAAATATTGATCCAACTGGATGTTTTCCAATGGAAACAAACAAACAAATAAATATTCTTCGAAAGAATTTTCAAGAATCTTGGGAATATCTCATCATGGAGGACAAAAAGAGAGACATTTGAAAGGAGATGCCAGAAAAGCCTGGTCACAGAATGTTTTTGCTGCAAGACAGCTTGTGTTTTCCATGCAGCTGAGGTATTTGTTAATGTAGCCTGACCTACAATTACATCGTATAATGGAGAGTCTGGCCCTCATCCTAATGGCCACCTATAGGGGAGGAATGTTTGGTTTGGGATGGATGTAAATACTGCCGTTGCTCCTGCTGGTGCTGCAGCGACTTGGGTTATGCCCTTCAAAGGGCATAATACCCGCAAATATATGTGAGCGATGGAGCTGACGTCTCTCAACCAAATTATCAGACTGCTCCTAATAACCAGGACGGGCAGTGTTCCCTTCTCACTCCAGCTCTAGGCAAGGAAAAGAGTGAAGTTTCCTTACAGTTTGGTTGCCAGTGGAGTCAGCTGGGAAATGCAGCAGAGGGGAAGCACGGGACAACACCAGCCTTCCCAATTTCATTTCCACTTTGGAATCAGAGCATCTATGTATAGCACTGAATGGCACTGGTCAATGCAGAGATGGGCTGGGAAGAAGTTCTTAGTGAGAGCCTGGGGTCTGCAGTAGCTGACAGGGTGACAGGCTGGGGGAAGTAGAGGATGGATCCTTAGTGAGGCAGTGTAGATAGGTGGTTTTGTTTGGTTTTATTTTTCCTTCATGTTTATGTGAGAATTCAACTCCCAGTGCCACCACCAGCCTTAGCACCCATCTCTGTCCTGATACCGTTGCCATAACTCTGGGGACTGATGCCAAAGCGTTAGAAGAGCTATTCAGAAATAAGAATGGCTGCTCTGTTGCTCCAGTTGGACATGGTTAGGGCAGAGTCTCTGTCTCAGCCAGAGTGAATGTTAGGACATGTAAGAGCATGGGATTAAAGTAGATACAGTACTCAAAGGGAGGTACATCACGAGCTTCTGCACTCCAAAGACAAGAGGCATTTTATCAGTTGCTAATGATAAAAAGCAGCCTGGATAAAACAGATGGTGAAATAAACTTCTGAACACAGAGTGTCATCAGGTTGTGGAACAGCCTCCCAGAGGAAGGATGAAAAACACAGATTCAGAGTAGGGTCAGATGCTTTCCTGGATTGTGTACGTGCTAAATGCAGTGATTGTGAATGGTGACAATTTGGAAAGAGTCTAAAGCATCAGAGTTCTCAAGTGAAAGCAGCCTTTACTAGCAGGGACTAAGAGATTCCTTTGGGGAGGAATGTAAGTTATCACACACTTGCCTGTCCGTACGCATCCAGATCAGCAGGACCTTGGCTCTGCTCTGGCTGACAGCTCCCTAACATCTCACACATCCCTCTGCTTCTGTCCACAGACTTTTCCATGACCACCCTGAGACTTTGGATCGCTTTGATAAGTTCAAAGGCCTGAAGACCCCTGATCAGATGAAGGGCTCTGAAGATCTGAAAAAACATGGAGCTACCGTCCTCACCCAGCTTGGCAAAATCCTGAAGCAGAAGGGTAATCATGAGTCAGAGCTGAAACCTCTGGCTCAAACCCATGCCACGAAGCACAAAATCCCAGTAAAATATCTGGAGGTATGGAAAACACAGGGAAACTTTGTGTCTGATGTGTGCAAGACAGATACATTGAGAGCTGCACTTCTATTTCAGGCTGGGTATTAGGAAAAATTTCTTCACCGAAAGAGTGGTGCTGCAGTGGCAGAGGCTGCCCAGGGAGGTGGTGGGGTGACTATCCCTGGAGGTGTTCCAGAACCGTGTGGATGTGACACTGAGGGACATGGTTAGTGGGCATGGTGGGGATGGGCTGGTGGCTGGACTAGGTGATCTTAGAGGTCTTTCCAATGTTAAAGGTTCTCTGATTCTATGGTTCTATTTAGTGATGTCTAACTGGACTTCACTTAGCACTTTCTCAAGTCAAAGTTCTCTGTGTACAGGCAAGAGGAGGCACAGAAGTACTCAGCTCCTGTGAATCTCCATTCGATTTCCCATTCAAAACACTATACACTGTCTGAGATACTCCTAATAATAATAAACCAGCCCATGCAGTCCCTGCATGCCTGGGAAATGACATTGCATAAGAATTGGCAGTGGCCGTACACAAGGGATATACAATTTTAGAGCAAGCCCTGGGGGAAGAACTGGAGACCAAAACTCATGAAACTAAGCACTTTACAAGTGCAGGACATGGAGACGTGGATTTGCAGCCTTAGTGGATGGGCAGACAAAGTGGGAAGGACCATGTCTACTCAAGGTCACAGAGTATATCAGTGTCCAAGCTAGGAGCAGAGCCCAGCTCCTCTGCCCAGCCGAGGCTCCTCGCATACTCTACCACAGTGTTTCTCTAGAGACCGCTGGAAGGGCTACTGAACCAGCCTGGAGATATTTCCAGGCTCTGCAACCTATTTTTTAGTCTGGATATTCTGAAAATAAACCCTGAGAGTCCCTTCTGTTTTGTTTTTTTTTTCTCTCTCTCTCTCCTTCCTCACAGTTCATTTCTGAAGTCATTATCAAGGTCATTGCTGAAAAACACGCCGCAGACTTTGGGGCCGATTCCCAGGCTGCGATGAAGAAGGCTCTGGAGCTGTTCCGGAATGACATGGCCAGCAAGTATAAGGAGTTTGGTTTCCAGGGTTAGCATGTATGCAGAAGGACACCACGATGGAGGCCTGGCCATGCGTCTCAGAGTAGCTTCCCCAGCACTACTCTGGACATCTTCCAACTGGCCATCCACAATGTGTGGGAATGCTTCAATGAGAGGCCAAGAGTCACCTTAGGCAGCGCAGAGGCACTCAGAGTGATGTCCATGATAAATTGTTGTCCTTCCCTGGCTTCATGTATGCAAAAGAAATAATCTGTTTTCTTAGGAAAAATAATATAAGGGGTTATCTGTCACCTTCTGCTTATTTCTGTGTCCTTTTTCTTTCCTTGTCCCCCACACCCAGTCTCATTCAAGAGGGAAATGGTGTTCTGTGTCCTTTTTCTTTCCTCGTCCCCAACACCTAGTCTCATTCAAGAGAGAATGGTGTGGCAGGAGATGAAGGGATGTGGAAGAACATGGGCGTGTTGAGGAGTGTGGTGAAGGAGTGGGTGAAGGGAGAACTCAAAGGTGCAAAAGGGATGTCAGAGTGGGAAGTGGGGACATGGCATCTGATTCTTCCCCCAGGTGAGACTTTTAGCAGGTGACTGTGGAAAGCTTTCAGCACCATCGCTGTTGTTACTTTGTTTCATGGGGGTGAACGCAGTCGGTCTCCAGGGTCTGTCAGCTTGGCAACCTGCTAAACTCATGTTAGCAAAACCATAAGGAGTAGCGTGCTCTGTGATCTGTAGGCTTCCGGCAGCTGCTGCTATGCATGCAAAGTTGTGTGGCTTTGGAAAGCAAAATACTGTTACTCAGAAAATAAAAATTCCTGCACTGATGCTGTGTAATTCACTCCAACAAGATGGCAGGAGCACAGTGTTTTGTATACAATCCCATCCTCCGGTGCTGGTGACGTGGTTGCAGCCCATCACTTGAGTGACATGAGGGGACTTGGGCATTCACATGTCACCATGGGGACGTGACCTGGTCCTTCATTCCATGCCTCAGGGCTAAGAAACGCTCCATGACTGAAGGCTGAGGTCACAGCTGAGTTCGGGGGGCATGGAAGGGATGGATGGCTCTGAGCTACCCATGAGTGCTCCACATTTTGCTTTGTGCTGAAGGGATCCCATCGCCATGTCTTGCTGTTTAGGCAGAGGTAGCACATGCAAGTTGCCACAGGTCTGTTTAACAGCAGTGTGTGCTTTCAAGCCATAAGTTTTGCCACCCATCCCATTTTGCGGTTTTGCTGGGTGATCTCTGCAAAGTCTTGACCTGATGCCCAAGATCACAGCCTGACTGTATGGGAATTATGCAGTTTACCTACTGGAAGGGCAGCTATACTCCACAGTGAGTACTGGAATCTGTGCTCCCTCCTCCTTCCCCATCACTCAGCTTAGGGCCTTAGCAGTATGATGTTGTGACTCTCTTCAGGTACATGCACCCACACTGCTTCCATGCAGAAAGTGTGCAGCTTGCTGTCGTTCTGTATGTGTGCACAGGGGTGAGAACATCCATGACAGAGTTACATCCTGGCACAGCAGTGGGATGTCACAGAGGTGAGCAGTTGGGTTCTTGTGGGAGAAAATATATGGCAACAACACCGTTGCTCTTTTCTGGTATGGAAAAAGTAATGCAGTTTATCTCCCAGAGACAGCATGAGGGCAAGCATGAGAAAGAAAAATGAGGTGCTTAAAATGAGGAGCTACAAGCAGGGTCTGGTTCAAAGCACTCGCTACAGGGCTGTGTGCAGTGGAGACAGCAGGAGCCACCAGCTCCCTTACAAATCAATCACTTCAAACCAGTGTGATCTGCCAGGTCTTTGGTCAGGGCAAAGGCCACAAAATTTCAGTCTCTGAAAGGAGAAGGAATGAATTCCTTTGCTGAACAGAGCATCTCTGATTTCTTGCTCTTTATAAATCCTCACTATACCTCTGGGAACTTGCTTAGGGTTTCAACCTTTCAGAGAGAGTCACAAAAGCATATGTTGTCACACAGATGAAGTTACAGCCAGGTGGTCCCTGGCTTAAGCAGCCTGCTCCTTCTGACTCTTGTCTGGCCTGTCTGGCCTCGCAGGAAGGGCAACCTATTTAATTAAGGTCTAGGATTGCCTGTCCAACACAATAACATTTCCTGCCAGTGACAACAGGCTCTGCTTTGGGATTAAAAGCTCCGCTATAGCAGCTGCCTCTGTCAGTCTGAGTGGCACTGTAGTCACCTCTAGATATATTTATGGAAGACAACGTGGTGGAGGAGGGAGAATTTGCATGCATATTGTGCCTAGCTACTGGTTATCATTACCTGGAATATTTCCTGGTACACTGGAAGAGCTGACCCTTCACTCAGCCTGCCTTACCCCCTCTGTCAGTTTGCAAGGGAGCATCTTAAAAACCATGCTAGTCAGATATGGGGTCTGAGGTACGTTGTTTTGTTGAACATATGGCCCCTTGAAAATGTGCAAGCCAGAATGAACCAACAAGTTCAGACAACAATAACTATGAGGCCAGTACATGCTGATGTTTTAGAGGGCATGGTGGTGATGGGTTGACAGTTGGACTAGATGACCTTAGTGGTCTTTCCCAAACTTAATAATTCTATGATTCTAAGAAAGGGATTGGAGGGGAGAAGATCTCTGGCCTCCCTGATATATTGATTGAGCATCTGTGTTGGAGTCACTCTTTCCATGCTGCTGCTGGAAAACAGCTTTTCTGATCTACGTGTGGGACAAAGTCCATCAGTAAGATAAACTGTATCAGGATAAGCTCTGAAATTGCCCTGCCTCCTTTCCAGGAATAGCTTTGCATGAGAAGGCTGGGCCCCAGTTAGCACAGCCAGGTGTCACATACGTGTTCCTGGTATCAGAATGGGAAGTAGACTGTGTGGCTGCCAGCCCCTCACTCTGGCATGTGCACACCAACTACAGCCAGGTGCCGAGAACCACACAATTAATCCTGAGGTCTGTCTCTGGGACAGCTCAGTGGGAGAAAGGGACTGGGCTCCAGTGGCAAACTATGAGACATATCTAGCCCCTTGGGGTGAAATTTGTGGCAGCATCCATATTTGCCCCTCTCTGTGGAGCTGACATGAGGAAGAGGATGGGAAGTTTCCAGCCTCATCATGATCACTGAGCAGATATGGCAGTGCTGTAAGGGTGCAATGCCTGCACGACACAGAATTTTGCAAAGGAGACTCAAACACACCAGCTGCTTCCAGTACCTTTGTCACAACTCCTATTTATTCTACCAGGTAACCAAAACCTCTCCTCTATGGTATGCCACGGAGGAACAGAAAGCAGTGGTGGAGCCAGGTGTTCCTTTGATGCAGTCCCGCCTGCCTGCCATGGCGTTTTCTACAAGTGCATGGGATCAGAGCACATCCTCCACCTCCCCAGACTCACTGTTCTCAGCTTTGCTCCAGGGTGCATTCTTGCTGGTTTGGACTGTGCCAGGCTCAGCGTTCGCAGTTATACACAAGCACCAGGCTCACAACACATATTGTCAGGAAAGCTCCTCTGGCCAAATCCTTCAGATTCCTGTATGCTTTTGTGCTGGTTCTTCATGTAAGAGGATGATATGTGTCAGTTTTAACATTGTGCATAAATGAAATACGGCAGTGAAATCAAGTTCTGCTGAGGTCTAACTAAGTGAGAAGACAGACAGTGTGAGGGCATGGTACCTGGAAGGTACCAGTAAGTAGGAGGGGTATTACATTTCATGAAGGTATGCAGGCAAAGTCAAGGAAGCCAGCTAGAATTACAGTAAGTAAGAATTCCCAATCAGCCTCTTTTATCCAAGGAGCTAATAAATGACCATTAATGAATATGATACAACAATGAAGCCTTCTCAGCCAGCACATAAATCTCTCCCTCCCCTGTGATCACAGGCATCACAAGTCCATCTCCAGTCCTGTGACTTCTATAAAATCCTTAACCAAATGATAGCAAAGGTGACCTTGTGGCTTTTTAAAGCACTATTTTATAGTGCACTTGGCTGCACTGTTCCAAGACTCTTTCCCTGTTTGGATTCCATCTCTTGTAAACAAACAGAAGAGGCAGCCTCCACCTTGCTCCAAGCCATGCAGAGGCCATCTCTACAGCAATCAGGGGACCTCACAGGCTTTCTGAGGCAAGACAGGACCTGGCACAGGATATACCAGCATGGCTGGTAGCTGAGTGAACAAGGCAATGTTTATTTGGGAAGGGGAGGGTATTGGAGTATCCGTTCCTTATGCCATGCCCCTGGGAAACAGAGACAAAGAGCAGTTCAGTGGTGCTGAGCTAGTTGGGTAGTCACTTGGTTTATGTCCACGCAAATGCAAACACAGGTGCAGCAAGGTCAGGGTGGACAACCTAGATATGAGGGTATTCTGCTGCATTTGAGGCACCGCCTCAAAGAAATGGCAGGGCTGTTGGGATGGTCTACTGGATTTGGTGAGAAGAGGCTGTTGCTGGTATGGCTGCCCTGCAATCCAGCAGCAGACACAACCCTCTGACTACCTTATGTATTAAAAATGAGTACAACATAGATAAGCTTGTCTGTGAAGTTCTGAATTTACCAAGGATATAGGGCTGAGGAGGGGGCTGTGACCACACAGCTATGCTGTTATTGATATCCAAGATGGCTACCTTAAAGTTAATCCAAGCACGTATCTTAGCTGCAGCCTTATATCTGGAGTACAGCAAAAAGAAAATTGAGCCTGTTCTCCCTCTGCAAAGAAAGCTCAGTATGAATGCAGCCTCTGAATCTCTGATCTTATTTTAGATTCTCCTTAAAGCAGGTTCAAACATTCCAGTGATAGAATAGATTTGGCTGGAAGAACTTCTGGATTACTAGCACTTAAGTATCTATGTCTCCATGCTTATCCTGTGGATCTCCTGTGGGTTTTCTGTTTGTGTGCAAGTAATGGTGCTTTAATTCACTGAAGTTTTTCTTTCTTCTGTCCTCCCCTTACAAGTCCATCTGTTTCTGTTTTCCAGCTGAATTCCAGCATACAAACTCACAGCAAAGGGACAAGAAATTCCTGGAGCTAATACACCCACTAAGATTTCAGACTGCTTTGCTCAGGGCATGCGTAGTAGCAGTCTTGTCCTCTTGACTCTTGGTGAGCTTTCAGATTATCTGGAGAGCTAAGTGATATATAAGTGATATATGATGTCAGAGTGGGTCTGCATCTTTTCACTTGCTTCTCAGCTGGATAGGCACACACACGAATGTCTGGTGCTCTTTGATGGATGTTGTATGTCATGGATTAACTATGAGTTGGTTGGGGAAACTAGACAGAAAAAAACAACAGAGTTTTGCCTAAGCCATCCATCCAGTGTCTGTGCAGATCCTGAGTGAGAGCCTATCCTGAGCTAAGGGCTTGCACCAGATAGGCTCAGACAAGCTGTGCAGCCACAGAGAGGAAAGCAGGCAGGGCACACCATGTGCCACACTCACAGTCACTCCTCTCTGCAAGCAGATGGATCTGTGGGGTCTGTGAGGAAGAATGACAAATGAAATGCAGACAGGAATCAGAATCATTAAGGTTGGAAAAGATCTCTAAGATCATCTAGGAAGATGCAGGCACAGACCTCTGCCCAGGCTCCTAAGCCTGACGACCATCAATGCCTTTTGAAGAGCAGTAACATCATTCCTGACAGTTGCTCTGCTCTAACAAGATGGGGGGATTTCCTAAAATGAGCTCGTAATCTGTGTGCTTTTGTATGGGATGAAAGAGGGACTTGGTGTTTTCTTATTGTGCTAGCACTGTTACTCAAAACTGGCCCATAAATCACAAGAAAAATATTTCTTGCGCACTTTGGTTTTGCCTTGACAATAGCACATACTGCTAACCCAGCTGATCCCCCAGCTAATTTCAGCATGTCACATTTAAGCTTCTGTCCCTATGTCTTCTGCCATGTTCCCTCTACAGCTGAAATGATCCCTCACTGCACAGAACGATCATTTTTTGCTTTTCCAGTCAAAATTGTCTTTCCCAAAATGGAGCTATTTGTAACACTCACAAATTGCAAACTTGTAACAACAGCAATGATTAGAAAATAATCTTTAACATATTTCCTCCTACATTTTTTTTTTTTTTTTAGTTCAGCTGTCCTGTAGCTTGTCTATTTTAGATCACAAACTTGTGGATTGCTTATGAGTCTCATTCAGGACAAACTCTCCTTTGATGGTCCATAGTAATTAAGAATTGTTTTATCCAACTTAAAGTTCTACATATAGATGCATTCCATTTACAGTACTGTGGAACTACAGGTGGTAAAGTGAGGCAGGGCCAGCATCACATCCACTATTTTGTGCTTTGGTCATTCAGCTATCCACTAGGCAGGGCTACAGACTGGAAGGCAGGATATTATATTGGTGAGCTCGTTCTGTAGAAAAACATGGAGTTGTGCCATCTGCCAGAAAGCAGCTCTTGCTTTCATGTGGTTACATTTTAGCAATTGACAAAGGATGTAGCTGTTCAGCTGGAACAGTGGTGTGGCGTGAATGCTCAGATATATTACAGATGCTGCATACAAAGCAAAGCAGTGTAAAGACCTTTGGGCTGAACTTGGAATGAAGTGCTCTAGAGATTAATACACTATGGTATCATCTGGGACACTGCTAATCTTCTCACTTCCAGAGCAAAAAGCCCTGGACTGAGATCATAAAGGACTTATATACCTAAAATAGGTTACTGACAGAAGTGAGGCCCCTAAATCCAAGCGTATGATGCTTGAACCCTCATGCATAATTCTTTACATGCTTATATTTTCATCACTGAAAGCATTGCTGGTTTTTGGCATTGTGCTTCAACCATACTCTTACATTCCCCCAGCTCAGATAGGTCTAAGCCACAGAGTGTTCATTCTAAATTCATTTGTGATCCTCAGATGTGACCTTCCTCTGCCTCATTGAGCAGAATCCAGTCATACTTCGCCTACATCTGACCTCCAAAAAATGCAGGTCCAACCGCTCCCATCCAACAGTGTGGTTAGGGAGTGAGGCTAAGGTGCATGCCTTTTATCATACAGATCACTGTGTTGTCTCACTCTCCTCCAGTCTTTTAAAAAGAGCTTGTTCCTCACAGTCTCTT